GCCCCAGGCGTCCCCAAGTCAGCTTCTGCTGAAACTGACCAGCGCTGACTACAGGAAGCCCGAGGCAGAGTTGCTCTGCCCCGGGCTTCCTGGAATCAGCTGCTGATTAGTTTCAGCAGCAGCTGACTTGGGGATGCCTGGGGTTCTTAAGTTGATTCTCTATGTAAGTCAGAACTGGCGGTCAGTTTCAGCAGTGTCTGAATCTGGACGCCAGTTCCGACTTACATACAGATTCAACTTAAGAACAAACCTACAGTCCCTATCTTGTACATAACCCGGGGACTGCCTGTATTGTGGGTGACCATATCAAAAGCTTTGCTAAAGCTGGCACTGGGAGATTTGGGAGGACCAGAAACAACTTATTTGAATATTCATCATTTGATTAATGAATATGCAAATGAAATCCAAAAGTTTGTGAATGGATTTACTGGTCCCCGTGTCAAAAAGTTTGGGAACCCCTGGATTAGAGGATTGGGCCAAAAGAAATCTGATGAGGTTCAACAAGGACAAGTGTAGAGTCCTGCACTTGGGACGGAAGAATCCCAAGTATTGTTACAGGCTTACAAATGGCTAAGTAGCAGTTCTGCAGAAAAGGACCTGTGGATTACAGTGGATGAGAAGCTGGATATGAGTCAACAGCGTGTCCTTGTAGCCAAGAAGGCTAATGGCATATTAGGTAACATTAAAAGGAGCATTGCCATTATATCCAGAGGTGTGATTATTCCTCTTTATTCGGCTCTGGTGAGGCCACATCTGGAGTATTTTGTCCAGTTCTGGACCCCCCACTATAGAAAGGATTGGAAAGGGTCCAGCGGAGGGTAACCAAAATGAGTAGGGAGCTGGAACGCATGACCTATGAGGAGAGGCTGAAGGATTTGGGCTCATTGAGTCTTCAGAAGATAAGAGTGAGGGGGGATTTGACAGCAGCCTTCAATTTCATGAAGGAAGGTTCCAAAGAGGATGGAGAGACGCTGTTCACAGTAGTGAGGGAGGGCAGAACAAGGAACAATGGTCTCAAGTTACAGTGGGAGAGGTCTATGTTGGATATTAGGAAAAACTATTTCACTAGGAGGGTGGTAAAGTTACTGGAATGGGTTCCCTAGGAAGGTGGTGGAATCTTCATCCCTAGATGTTTTTAAGTCTCGGCTTGACAAAGTCCTGGCTTGGTTGATTTAGTTGAGATTGGTCCTCCCTTGGGTAGGGGGCTGGACTTGACAACCTCCTGAGGTCTCTTCCAGCTCTATGATTCTATGATCCTCATAAGTAAAATTATGAGGTCAGAAAAATGCCATATATTGCGTTGTAAAGCTCAGGGACATTAAAATGAGTTTGTGAATGTGTAACTGCTGGAAGTTTCGGTGGTTACACATTTACACACCGGGGAGGTAGCGAGGGGGAGGAGTAGAGAGGCAGGCCAGCTCCTCATGCACTGCAGCCAGCACAGGGGGAAGGGGTTCCTGTGTGTAACTCTGTACGTTAACTGAGAAGCCTGGACTCACTGGTTAACTATGTATACAGGTACACATTCACATCCCTAGGGAAGAATTACACTAGAACTATTCTTTAAGAGGAGTTTGACCATGAAGCCATGTTGAGACTGCAACCAAGATGGGACATTTTCTAGCCCTAATAACAGGATCTGCTTCAATCTCAACAGTTACAGTTAAAAAATGGGTAGTAAACTGATGAGCAGATTCTCAGATGGTGTTCATCAGGGACTTCAATAGAGCTATGCTAACTGACACCATTTAAGGACTTAACTCAATCAAAATAAATGCATTTATGGGTCTCCAGGAAGTTATTGTACCTCTACCTTTTCAGTAGTCAATTCTGTAGCATACTCTATAGGATTTAGCAATTGATTTTTGTCACTAAATTTTACATGATAAATTTACTTACATTTTCATAATCCTTCATGGTCCGAGCTCTGGTTGGTGAAACTATATCTTCCGCCACATCCAGAAACACTAGACAACGGACAAGACAAATCAGATCCAAACCAGCATTCCCTCTAAGTTGCACAGTGGCAGCAGCTTCACAGATGATTAATCAGCCTCACACAATCGGTCAGCTCCTACAGGGAGCCCTGAGCCTGACTGGGCAGGGCTGACTAATCACCTGGGAAGCTGTGCTACAGCGCAGCTTAGGAGGAACCAAACATCCAAATATCAGAGGATCCAAAATTACAATGTTATTAGGGGAAAAAGGTTATTTTAACCATCTGAATGCATTAAAAGCATCAAACAAGTGTATTTTCATGTGCCCTTTTTAAATTATGGACTGAGTTATGACAAAAACAAGGCAGGTGCTCATAGCTGCGCAGCGCTGTGCCCCTCAAGATCAAGGCTTGCATCCATAGCAGAGGTAGCAAAGAAATATTAGCTACTTCTCTATGTATATGATTACAAATAATCAAAGTGTTTCTCTCTCGTGTTCATTCTACAATAGCCAAAATTTAATAAGGAACACAAATGTGGTATTAAGACAGCTATGAACATTCGCAAACTTTAAAAAGGGAAGGGCGGGGGGGAAGAGATTCTATACAGGAGGCTTAAAAATTGCAGATTATATACAAAATGTGACATCATATATCTACATATCCATATATGGAAAAGCTAGAATTGAAGGATTAAGGGAAAAAAGTTTGAAGTACCAAGTTCCCACTGTTTAAAGAAATTATTGAAGTAAATATTTCCTTATTGAAGTAAATATTTCCAAAGTTATCAAGTAATTCCATACACACTACACAGCCTCTCAATATTCCCGACTAACATGATGAGATACATAGAACATCTACAGTAACAGCATCACTGCCATACAGCAATGTAGGTTTATTTCTTATAATTGCTTGCTTTCATAAAAAAATATCTTCCAGTTAGCATATGTAAGTTGTTTTCATTATTGCACAGCAGAATTGTAGACCAGGGAAGGGCAAAAAGGCCTCCTGCAGGCCAGATGCGGCCCGCCAAGAGATGATGAGATACATAGAACATCTACAGTAACAGCATCACTGCCATACAGCAATGTAGGTTTATTTCTTATAATTGCTTGCTTTCATAAAAAAATATCTTCCAGTTAGCATATGTAAGTTGTTTTCATTATTGCACAGCAGAATTGTAGACCAGGGAAGGGCAAAAAGGCCTCCTGCAGGCCAGATGCGGCCCGCCAAGAGAGTTGATCTGACCGTGGAGTCCCTGCTACTATCTGCACCCCCAGGCCAATCAGGACCTGGAGGGACGGAGGGGAGGGAAGTGCGCAAAGTCTCCTCCCATCCTGCAAGGGGTGCGGCACTTCTAAGCACCGCATGCTCCTTGCAGGACAGGGGCAGAGCGGGAGGAGACTTTGCACACTCCCAGGCCAATCAGGGCTTGGGAGCAGGAGGAGCGTGTGACATCTCCTCCTGCCCTGCAAGGGGCTCAGAACTTAAAATCAACCGCCAGCTGACTCTGAGCATGGCGCTCCCTTGCAGGGCAGGAGAAGGGAGCAAGAGACTTCATGCAGAACACAGAACCATCCTGGCCTCGTCCCTTCTGGGGTGGCCTAAGGCAACTTCAAAAATTTCTGAAGTAGCACCCGGTCAAAAATTATTGCCACTCATGTTGTAGACTTAGCTTCAACTAAATACACAAAAGCATACTGGACAGAATAACATTCAAAATACAAGGCCAGGAAACTGGTTATCAGAACAGAGAAAATTGCTATAATTATGTATAAGTAGTTTTCATTTGATATTTCAAAATAAATGTTTCATGTTGTATTCTCTCCCAAACATGCAGTAAAATGAATATTCAGCTACTACTCCAGAAAGTAAAACATGCTGAATTACTATCCCTGCTCAATACAGTTCAACAATATTTGACAGGAAAAGTCTGGTGAGAGACTTTCACGTGCTCTCTCTAAAATAAAGAACTAAACTACCATCATTGTTTCTGAAATTAGTACAAGAAGAACAGGACCAAAGTCTTGCAGGATCAGGATCTTAATGACAATAGAAACTTAATATGTTGGTATCTTGGCTTAATACAAATTGGCACTCTCTGGTACAGCAACATCCCTGGTCCAGCATCATTTTAGTTAGCTGGATGTCCACCTACCACAGATGTGGCCAAGTCTCCTGCAGTCCCATAAAGTTTGTTTTTCGCCATGAGTCCAGGCTTTCAGTGCTCTGTGCTGTTATTTAGCTCGATTTTACCCCTAAATGTCTTCTAAGAGCCCAGTAAGCAATGGAAGTGGTGGTAATGCTCCTAGACCAGGGGTGGTCAACCCGCACCTCTTTCATTTAAAAAAAATGTGGCTCCTGCTGCTTCTGAGCCACGCGCCCTGACTATTCAGGCCGGCAGCTCTGCGCATGGCGTCCCAGGGCTTGCTCACCAGCAGCCACTCAGCACACAGAGTCCCAGCGCCTGGAGGGAGAAGTGCGTGGCGGCGGATCCAGGACCTAGGCATTAGGTTAGAGCAGGGGACGGGGACGGGGACGGAGGGGGGGGGGAGAGAGAAAGAGGGGCCTGGCTCTGGGT